GGTTGTGTCTTTGTGATTGTGTGTTTGTAGTTGTGGTTGTGGTTGTGGTTGTGTCTTTGTGATTGTGTGTTTGTACTTGTGGTTGTGGTTGTGTGGTTGTGGTTGTGTTTGTGGATGTGTTTGTGGTTGTGTTTGTGGATGTGTTTGTGGTTGTGTTTGTGGTTGTGTTTGTGGTTGTGTGTTTGTGTTTGTGTGTTTGTGGTTGTGTGTTTGTGGTTGTGTGTTTGTGTGTGTGTGTTTGTGTGTGTTTGTGTGTTGTGTGTATGTTTGTGGTTGTGTGTTTGTGATTGTGTCTTTGTAGTTGTGTTTGTAGTTGTGTGTTTGTGATTGTGTTTCTAGTTGCGTGTTTGTGATTGTATTTGTGATTGTGTTTGTGATTGTGTTTGTGTGTTTGTGGTTGTGTGGTTGTGGTTGTGTGTTTGTACTTGTGGTTGTGGTTATGTGTTTGTGATTGTGTCTTTGTGGTTGTGTTTGTGATTGATTGTGTTTGTGATTGTGGGTAGTGGTTGTGTGTTTGTGGTTGCGCGTATGTGGTCGTGTGTTTGTGATTGTGTGTTTGTGGATTTTATCTAGCAAACTATCTGGGTTGAGGTCCAGCGGTGCACACTGCGATCGGATCCCTGCGGTTGAGGTCCAGCCGTGCACACTGCGATCGGATCCTTGCGGTTGAGGTCCAGCGGTGCACACTGCGATCGGATCCTTGCGGTTGAGGTCCAGGCGTGCACACTGCGATCGGATCCTTGCGGTTGAGGTCCAGGGATGCACACTGCGATCGGATCCTTGCGGTTGAGGTCCAGGGGTGCACACTGCGAGGGGATCCTTGCGGTTGAGGTCCAGGGGTGCACACTGCGATCCGGAGCTGGCCAGACAAGATCAGCGAAGCAGATTGGCGATGAAGATTGGCGAGGAAGGAAGCAAGGAGGAAGGAGGAGGACGAGGAGGCGGCGGAGGCGGAGGAAGAACAACTGTGATAAAATCTAACAACCCTCACCTGGCAGGTGGGGAAAAAAACAAAAGGGTGCAACACCCCCCAACCACTGTTGATCTAAAAGGAATTAAGATATTTCTTCTGAAACACGTATATCTGAGACAACTGTCTAGTCGCTCTAGTCGACATGTGCACTAAAAAACAAAGCCTTCTATTGTCCATTGAAGAAACACAACGAACAGGTGCAAAGAGTTTCTTACACAGTTGCAGATCCAAGCATTGCAAACACCAATATGGTGGATGCACTTTGGGAAAGTTGGGGCGTTGCATATCTTCTGGAACGTCATTACGTTGATGTTGATGTGTTGTTAAATCATGAGCCGGCATGCCTTTGTGCACAATGCAGCTACTGATGTAGGCCTGTGGAAAACACGACAATTTCAGTTCAAAGACTCTTGGCTTTCAAATGCTACATGTCCGAGAATGCGCGTTGTTACGTGAACTGTCTAGTGATTAAGTGCCCCTAACTACAATATTAATATTCCTACTACCACTATACCCTTACCACTACCACTACCACCACGACAACGACGACGACGACTACTACTAGTACTACTGCTACTATTACTACTTCCGCTTCCACTGCCACTGCCGCCACCATTATCACTACGACTACTACCACTTCCACCATTACTACTACTTTCACTTGTCAAATGCATATATATAATATTTTTGTCACTATTATTACTACTGCTACTACTCCTACTACAGCTGATGCGGCAACTATCAAGACTACTTTCGACAAGTTTGCTCCTCAATTACCTAGGTCTGGGATTTAAAATCAAAAATCACGGCTTTAACATGTTTTAACTGTAGCTCTCCTTGACATCTCCCCCCAATCATGCACAAAGACCTGCACAGCGCTGCTGTCAAAGTCTAGGGCCTTGCCGCCATATCCTTGGTACACCGAAAATTGTAAGGAGGCTTTAGTGTTTACAAATATTGTCGCAAGTATGAAAGCCACATAGAAACATAACGCGATTTGCAATATGCAACACATCACGATCAATGATTAGTATAACTGGTTTTCATTCAAGGTCATCACGAACAACCTTGACAAGTATTCCACATAATCCAACTCTTACGAAAGGCAAACTGGCGCAAACCTTTTTACACAGAAGGCTCGTATAAGTCGGTGCAGGGCGTTTTTTCTCGAGCGCGCAGCGAAGAGTTTAACTGTGGGGGGTCTGGGGGTAGTCTTGTCCGCGACTCGTTGTCGTAGCGTTCGCAACCGTTCGCAACCGTCCGCAGTAGAGCGTTTCCGCCGCTGACATTGGGCGAAGCATTTGGAGAAGGCTTGGATGAAAGCATGACGCTTCACATTCGTGTGAAATAGCGAGGAAACGTGTGGAAACGTAAGAGGAACAGCGTCTTGTGAGATGCGCAGTTGTCTTGGATGGCGGTGTTTTGGGGGTGTTGGATGTGGCTGCGACGTTGGGATTTGCTGATTTGCTTTTCAAGCTGTTGTGCTCCGAAGCTGTGTTTTCGTGACTCAGCTAAAACGGCCATTTTGGTGGCTGGCAGTGTGCTCCGATGGGGCTCCCCGCGCTTGACTGTTGGAGGAAGTCTCGTACGAAATGCTCTCTTTGGAGACTTTGACATGTGACTTTTGGAGGAAGTCTCGTACGAAACGCTCGTTTTGCAGACTGGACGATTGAATTTTGGAGGGTGTCTCGTACGAAACGCTCGAAGTGTGAGTTTTTGAGGAAGACTTGTGCGAAACGCTCGTTTTAAAGACTTGACGAGCGAAGTTTGGAAGAAGTCTCTCTGGTACGAAATGCTCGCTTCGCAGCCTTCACGCGTGACTTTTGGAGCAAGTCTTGCGCGAAACGCTAGTTTTGGAGACGTCGGTTGAGTTTTGGAGTCTACCACAAGAGTGTCCCGCAAGAGTCTACCACAATAGTGTCCCGCAAGAGCGTTCGACAGGAGTATCCTACAAGAATGAATGTCACACAAGAGTGCCCCGCAAGAGTCTACCACAAGAATGTCCCGCAAGAGTGTTCGACAAGAGTGCCCTTGTAGCTACAAGAGAGTGTGTCCTGAAAGGGTGTCACACAAGACTAGACTGTTCCATAAGAGTGTCCGACAAGAGCGTCCTACAAGAGTTTCCTACAAGAAGGTGCTCCACAAGAGTGTTCGCAAGAATTTCCTACAAGGGCGTCCCGCTCCTACAAGAGTGTTCAGCACAAGAGTGCCCCGTCCCACAAGAGAGTCCTACAGGAGTGCTTCGCAAAAGTGTCCCACAAGAGTGTTCCGCAAGAGTTACCCACAAGAGTTGGTGTCATACAAGAGTGTCCCACAAGAGTGACAAGAGTGTCCCACAAGAGTGTCCCGCAAGAGTGTCTCACAAGAATGTCCGACAGGAGTGTGGCTCAGAAGTGGCAACTTGTAGCACAAATGTAATGTGGGAAGCAGCTCCTGGTAGCTGTGGCCTCAGGACAGGCAACTTGGTAGTACACAGGTAGTAGCTGTGGCCTCATAGTACACATGTAGTGCGGCAAG